CTTCTGCTCCAGTCTAATCCTAATTTAATGGTTAGAACTCTTATTCTTACGGTCTTGTTTCAAATATGATACCACAAAGAGTTCAGCAGGATACATAGTACTTGCTGTGAAAGTCTTGTAGTACGAATATCATGTAGGCATTAAATTCGATGTATTTTAACATTAGCCAAAGCACGTTTACAAAGAAGAACAAGTGCCACAATCCCCTGCCTAACCACTGAAGGAAGAGCGAAGTTTCTGCTATAAACGCACAAAAGAAACCTGACACGAAGCCAGCGTGGAGCGGGCGCTCCGCCCGCCCGGTGCAGCGGCTGTTGGGCGGGCAAAGGTCCCTCCAGCCGCGGCCGCTGCCGCTCCCCGGGGCCGCCGCCAGCGACCTGGCGAGGGAGGGGGAGAGAGGGAGGCACGACCTGCCGGGTCCTAATGCCGGGCAGGAGCCGCTCGCCTCCCGCCCGGCGGCCTGAAGGCACCGAGGCGATGCCCGGACCATCCCAATGGAGAAATTTCTGGCCGCGCTGGCTCGAGGACAGATCCCACGGGAACACCCTGAGGCCACTCGGACGTGCTCATGTGCAACACGGCCCGTGCGCAGGTAACCGGCAGAGCTGAGCATTGCCACGGGTAAAGCCACCTCCCCCCTCCCCCGAGAGAAAAGCATTGAAGGATTCCACAGGAAAAGGAAGAGGATGGTACCACCAGCCCCTGACATCGATGCTCCTTCTATACTTGTAAGAAACCCTGATTTGTTAGTCAAAACTCAGCCCCCTGAGCTTTACCTGAGAGCTGCACATCTTCATCATGCAGTACAGGAACAGAAAAAATTATGTGGAACAGGTGGGAAAGAGAGAGAGCAGGACTAAAACTGTACATGCTGCAGCAGACACCAGCACGAGTCCAGGATCTCTCCTGGCAAACAAAGAAGGCTCTTGACAAGCCAAAGACTGCAAGAAGTCCAGCAAGGCAGCTTTTACAACCATAGATGTGGAATACACCAGCACATCTGCTTTCTGGCTTGCTGTTGTCACTATGGTCTATTATAAGCAAATGCAGCTGTACAAGATTACTGCCCTCTGCACCTTCACACCATTCTTTCAAACACATCAGCTGGCCAGAGCAATAATTTCTGATGTATTTTCACTTTGCTACCTCCTTCTTGCCACCACTTGAAGATCAAACAGTAGACTTGTTATAACTTTGTATGTTTTAATACCATTTTAGTGAGACGTCCTTAATGTCTCACCTTAGTGAGACCTGAGATGACTTGGTCAGGGGGCACTAGAATGCAAACAGGATTGAAACAGTTGCTTTTATTGCCTTCCAGTGTTTCCTGTACAATTGTGATCGATGTTGTTAACAGTTGCACATAGTTTTCATTAACGTGCCTGGTCTTGCTGCCAAAGCTGACAGGGGATGGGACAGACAAGCTCCCCATCAGTGAAAGTAGAGTTAGGTGGGCAGTGACAACCTCCTCATGAAAACAAGCAGGGACACAGACAGAAAAAGTTGCACCCAAAGTACAGCCATGAGTAATGTTGAGTGAAAAATTTATATTGAAGAGTGGTCTTCCCATAAATGCATCTGTTCACTTTGGCATGAACTCCTCCACTGCATACTATGCACGACAGAACAAGACCATTATTTAAAAGCCAAAATACCTGACTTGTGATATGTTTTATCTATCCTGTCACAGCAATCTGTCTTACTCCTATCAAAACCACAAAACAAAACCACAGAACAAAAATTCTGGAGCCATACACATACTTCCACTATATGAATCAATGAAGACTTAGAGTTAACACCACTATATGGCACATGAAAAAAAGCCCAAATGTCCTAAAGATTCAAAACAGTATCAAAAAAGTTTTACATCATATACTTTTCAAAGCCTTTCCTCTCGCTGCTGTGAGTGCACATCTCTCTCCCTATTACAGATACCAAAGAGCCTGCTCCTAGCAACATTCTCATGTGAAGCTTCTGTAATGTGATAATTTTTGTGACTTCATCAATAGGTAAATCTGTTTCGTCTTTCACATTCTCATTAAACAATGAAAAATCAAATGGGTAAGAAAGCCAAAATTCAAAGAGAGCTAAGGTAATCAGGTCCAGCTTGTTCAATCTAATACTAATTAGTGTTTTCACAATGTGGAGAGCATTAGATCTGTGCTATCAACTTCCAAAATAAAACAATTTCTGAATCTGTCAAAATACTTTAAAAAATGCACAGGTGGCAAAGCAAATCAGATACTTCTGTAGCTTCTCATGAAACAGTCCAGAAATGAATACAATGAAACTGTACCACCTTGTTAAAAGAAACAAAAAAACAACTAAAAATTATCATTTCTCAGTTCCAACTTGGGCTCACAAGACAGATGTAGCTTACAAACTCAGCAAATCAACAGTGTGAAAAAGAGCAATCAGACATGGTAAACCACAGCTTTTTGAAAGAACATACATTGAGTAATTGCTAGCACACGTGTCCAAAGTGCACAGAACTTCCCAAGGATTCAAACGGATATGAGCATCTTCCACATTTTTCTGTGCAATGGCATCAAGTTTCACTGTGGGCTGCAATAGCGAGGGCATGCCTTGGGGCTGGCATATTCATTTAACATATGAGTCATTCAGTGTGGAAACAACATAACAGAAATATCCACAAACCAATGAATTGTGAAAGAACTATAACATTTTCCCCCTCAGGCCTGCACCTAGTAAAGTGTCACAAATGAAGTTAATATCACAGAAATTATTCAGCAAAAGAGGAATTAAGCAGAAAATGACAGTCAACTCTTTTACAAGTCCATAACGTAACTGTTTTTATTTGAAACCATACCAGTCAGTACAGTCATCTTAGAAAAGATCAACAAAAAAAGACACTCCAGACTTGACTTTTATAACTACTGCACCCACAGATAAGGTACTTCTACAATAGGGAAATTGCAAAGTAGGTTTTTCTTCACTGGTATCCTCCTTCAGAATCTGAGGGAATTTAAAACTCAGAACTTAACACCACTCCCTTAGCCCTCTCTCCCTCCACCCCTCCTCCTGAAAAAAGTTGGTTTAAAATATAAATAAGATAAAATAATTAACCAAACACTTGACGTGCAATGAACCTGAGTGAAAGATTAGCTTGGCAAGAAAAAGAAAAGATGTAGAGGAGCCTAGTTTCCTCTCCATTAGCTTCTTACTACATTAGCCCACAGAATCACAGCAGTCCAAAAAAACCCATTTATAAGTACATCAAAGCAGCTAAGTTTACATTCATATATCCAACATGCATATTTGTCCAAGTGCACTAGGGAACCTAGTATGCCCCTAAATTTAAGGTGCTGATTTGTGTTTCATGTTTTGGCACTGGAATGAGTACACAGTACTTTGAGGGCCAGATTTTATCTTACTCCCACCTCAAAAGTAAGAATGAAAAACTGAATGTTAGAGAAAGGGATATTAAATAGTCACTCTTAGTCACCTTGCTTGCCAATCTAATTTCAAATAAGGAGACTGCTTACATTAATCTTTTTAGGTCTAACTTATGCACTTACATGAGACCTTTGGAGTGTGGCCAGACCTTTCAGGAGCTCACCTACCAGGCATTCTCTGTCCTTCCTCCCGCAGTATCTCAGTGAGGATGCTCTGTTTCAATGAATGCTGCCCTAGGTACCTGTTATGATGTACATCTATACTGTGCAATGGAGCCCAGAGCAGCTGGGCTCTGCCAGCCTGGCTGGCGCTCACCCCCGTGAGAATACACCCCTGTTTTCCTGCTCTCACTGTATGTGCATGGGAAGTATCTGTGCTGGCACAAGGATGTGTCTGAGCTCCTTATCCTTGCCTCTGAGCAGGGCTAAGGCCTCTGCCAGGCCCGCTGTTACTGCTTAGACATGAGCCACCAGCCCTCTGACCAACACAGACTATCCGATTAACGCCTAATCCGCTTGTGAATTGGCTCCTGGCCACCGCTGCTTTCTGCAGGGCATGACAAAATTCAGAGCTCCTGAGGTGTGTCTAAACCCTGATTTCACTGCAAGTAGCATGCTCTGGAACAGCTATCTCAGCTATGAAACTGGCTCAGCAGAAGAATGTGCAGTGTCTGTGCTGCTCTTTACTACAGAGCATATGCACATCCAGCACCTCAAAATACCCTTAACCAAGGAGCTTTGAGAATTGCCAGCTGCCACAGAAGAGTTCCACTTCAATATAGACCACCAGTGGGATTCAAAGAGTAGGACGGAAAAGAGGCACAAATTCTTTGTTAATTTCAAGAAGTCATTATCTACAAAGATAAGAATATACTTTGTTTTGGTGAAAACAAAAATTTTTGCTTAGGGAATTGTTGGCCTAAGTTATTTCAAATACTAAACTTAAAGGAATCGCTTGTACTACATTGCAGTTACAGTAAAACTTTAATTGGTGTTTTTACTTGCACTTTCTAATTGTGTATATTATTTAAATGGTGTGAAACTTCCAACAAAGTAGTACCAATCAGTAACTTAGCATGCTGTCATATTTTTTTAACCAATATGAGGATTAAAAGTTACCAGCTATGATTAGTTTGTCAATAATTATGTGTTTTGTATCTCCTGCAAAGCTGGATGCAATGCCTGTTAGAACATTCTCATGTATAGTGGTGAAATATACCATGAGAGAGTATACTCTGAGTGAAAAAAAAGCAGTTTTTTTTTTTAAATGACAGTTCAAAAATATTCAGTTCTAAATATTCAGAGAAACAGGCTCACAAACAGTGAGCCATAAACAGCCACTAACTCCCTCTCTAAAATAACTTTTCTAAAAAGATGTTTTCACTATTTTTATATGCAAGAACTCAATGCTAAGTAAAGTTGTACAATGCTTCAGAATTTAAAATACTTCATGATATAGAGCAATCCTCCTACTTTTCACATTTTAGAAGAAAATTTCATCAGACAAATCCTCAGAGAGAGACACAAACACATTTTACTGAGAACTATCACATAGTGTTTAATAAATTACATGCAAATTCTTACCAGAATGCCACTGCTTTTGAAGATGCCATATCCATTGTTATCCTCAAGATATCCATTCTTATTCATCATTAGTACCCTGCTTCCTTTGCACTCAAGCTTCGGAACAATTTCTGACAAGCAACCCACACCTATCAAAATGGTTTCTAGAAAGCAAATTATATAGCTGTAAGACATAGAAAACAAACCAGCAATTTGCAAACCACTGCAAGTGCAATGCAAACACAGCAAATAGAAAATTCATTCTGAAACATTCATCCTATTATGCTGGACACTAATATAACCACAGCTGTAACATTATAACATTATAATATATAACATTTTTAATCATGGTTCACTTACAGAAAAACTGCAAGAGCAAAATTCCTTTTTATCCCATGAAATCTCATATGTTTCATCTCATTAAGGGTGGTCATTTGCTTGTGAATGATTTTTATAAAAGAACAGGATAAAGAAACATTATTCTTAAACTATACTTAAGGTTTTCTAAGGACTTATGAAAATTGAAGTTCCATTTATGCTGGATAGAGCAAATACACAGAACAGTAAAAGGTCCCCGACCACATTAGAAGAACAAGTCTAAACAGGTAAGACAGCACAGGGGAAAAGTCCACACACAGCACAAACAGCCGGACTGCAGTAAATGTAACAGTAGTTCTACTTTGCAGGTGGCTTTTGCTTGCAAACAACATAGAAGGAGGTACAGGGTAAGGAGGGCACATTGGGTGGGAGGAAGCATATGTAGCATGCAGGAACAAAGCAGAAGTGAAGAGGTAGAACAGACAGCAAGAGGTGGAAGAAGCAATCAGTAAGCACAGGACAGAGAACAGCTAATTAAAGTTAGTGAATGTTCTCTGAATGGTCAAAGGTCCCTGGGCTTTTGGCCCTTTCTGTTTCTGTGAGTTAGTCTCTGGCAAGGTCCCTTCTTTACTGCTTCCAGGCTTATAGCAGTATACTTAGACTTATTTTATACTTATTTTCAGTTCTTTTCCCCATCACAATCCCCTCCCCACATCTTAAAGATCTCTCCCTCACTTGTAGCTTTAAAACAGACATGATCTGAATCTACTCAACAATATCTGTATAGAACAAGCACATGCAGATCAGCCCTATTTGCAAATGATCCAAGCTCTTATATTCTGACTTCAACCTTCCTAACTCTTTCTTAGGTAACACATACTGGATAGTAGAAAAGTGAGGCAAGACACTGTTCACTGTTCTATAAAAGAGCAGTTGAAAGTTGATAAAACATTTTACTTCATGCTAAATAACAGAGTTGTTAGGATTCAGGATGGGGACAGGTGCTCTATAGGCTCTGGTGCACATAGCCAGATGGAAATATTATAACCTTCACAGTAAACTGTACTTGTTCTAGCATTAACTGAATAGATTAGGCTTATATCAGAACAGAAGATGCATTTTCATTGTCAAAACACTCATTGTTTATATCCTTTAGCATAAATGGAGATAAGTCAGTGTAAAGAGCAAGTCAGCCTACAAAGGCAAATCAAACCTGTGAAACTGAAGTGGTGTAATTTTTTATGGGGCTGTATGGATAAGGGCAAATAAACTAGATTGAAGTCACTTTCATCTGGTGCAAGATCTCCAATAAGAATAATTTATACTGGCATAGCAACTGCAATATAATTAAAAACAATTCCTGGAATTGGGCCAGTGCTGCCAGGTTGTTTCCTTCTGCATGGAAATAAGCTACCAATAGATACATTTTATACTGATACAGCTCTATTCACACTGGGGAAAGGTAGCTGATACTTTAATTATGCCAGTACAGATAAAGAAGAGAAATGTCTGATAGAAAACCAAGTATCTCAGATATAGTCCATTTACCTATTGCAAGACAGTAACAATATTCCTAGCACAGGCAACACTTTAGAGTACTAATTCTTAATTTAAAAAATAATCCCTCCTGTGTCATTCTCAGAACACCACCAACCTTTGAAATGCTAATGGAATTACTAGAGACAAACCAGACTTGGAATTTCTGCCAGATTCTGTCAGGAGTTCATCTGACAAAAGTTTTCTCTGTGCCACTCAAGTGTCACTATTCTCTTCATATCTCCTTTTCTTTTAAAACAAACTTTTTTTTTAAGCAACAATGTTGTGGTAATTTTGAATCTTTGTAAAAACACTGGTAAAAGTAAAGTGTGTGTCTTGGCTTGAAAAATACACATAAAAGCAATTATTACTTCTCTGCCAGACTACAGCTTTGGAAATTACCTGTAACTTGCCAATGACAATAACAGGCAAGTAGTTATCCAGCAAAATTCCTTTAGCTCAGCTGCACAATAGTACTTCCACACCACCTGCATTTTACCTGGTTGTTTGAAACAGCATTTGCCAATTCCAGCTGTGCTGTTAAAAAAAAAACCCAAAAACCAAACAAAAACCCAAATGTTTTGTTTCTAAAGGAATAAAGTTTAGGATAAAGCTATTTATCCCAGTGTTCTTTAAAGGACAAAACAAGAATGGTAACTCCCAGACAACTGAGTTGAGACACCAGCATAACCTGATAAAACAAGAATGCATTTTCCTCTTTACTTGTGACTTCTTTACAACAGCTTCCAAAATAGACTCAAGAGAAATCCATTGTTTTTGTCTCCCTATCTCTGCCTCCCCCTAAAATAAGACCTCTGCTCTCAGGAATCTTAGAATAAAGTGAAATATCTACAACTGTAACTTACCTATCAAAGGTGAACTGCATGTGCCTCACTAAGAATATGAATTGCAGCAACCATAACTTAGCACATGTACTGACAGGTACGTTAGTTATTAAAAAATTAGTAAAATATTGACTTTTAATAGCATGAATGTTCTCATCCAGGGATCAACCTGTTAAAAAGTGAGGTGCTTGAAAGTAGGGGGTTTTTGTTAGCTAGTTGATGAGCCTCAGCAAGAAGAAAAAAGTTGAAAATAAAACTCAACATTACAATTCTTGTACAGCATGCTATCATAAATTAATGGAAAGGGTCTACTTATATAGAAAATCTTGTTAAACAAACATAATGTCTCTATTTAGAAAAAATATCTCATTGCAAATAATCAATAGAACACTTCAAAGACCTGCCAGTAAATGTAGTCTATTATATGCAAAATTTATAATTTCTCAATACTCTGAAATTCTGTAAAAATTAATTTAAAATACTTTTGACTTACAGAAAGCATCTTGAAGGATGCAATACCTAATCTACTTCTTAAAAATCAACTTCACTGCTCTTTTTGACAGTATTCCATAATGTACACAATTACCATTCCACAGCATGATAATGAAGTTAATCGCCCAAGCACTACATAGGCTTCATCACCTCCTCTTGGTGAGCATGTCAGGAATGAGATATCCTCTTTTGGAAGACCCTGAAACTCCCATAGCTGTACTGCAGATAAGGCAACAGATTCTCCTCCTTCAAAAATATAACCAACCAGTTCAATATGACAACAATAAAAGACTGGGATCCAAGAGGAGATCATTTAAGCTAGATGTTCATGACCAGGATAACAAATTTCTGGGCCTGCTCTCAAAAAAATGTCATGATGTTGGGACCCAAAATCAGTGCAGCACGTTGGGTGGTATCCAGTCCTGCCATTGTTGCTAAGCCCTAAGGTAAGCTACACATCAGCTCCCACATGAGCCCTCTCTCAGACATTCTTGGAACACAAGTCCCAAGAACAAGTTAAGATACGTCCTTCTGAGCAGGCAGGAAGCTGTGTTCTAAAGAACACTGGAACAAAGATATTCCATAAAACTAATATATCAATGGGTTACCCACAGAGAGAGGTACATGCACAGCTGATGTGTTGCTCAGAGACTTCTATTTTGAAGTGCTAACAAACTTATCTACAGTGGTATGAACTGTCTCCTAAAACACGTCACTTCTCTAAGATTGAATGTGCTGTGTGCTACACGATTTTTTTTTAATTATAAAGAACCTTTAATAACTGTTGATCAGATTTTCTATAACTTTACAAATTCAAGAGGTACAGGAATTTGCCCCCAATAGTTTAGTATATCCTGTGGCAAAAATTACAGGGATTACTCATTTCTATAGGGAAAAAAACCTTGTATTCTTCACCACTTAGGAACACACAACTTATTACAAGCATGTAATTCTCCTTCTACTTACTTAAATGAATTAGGAAGCTACTATAAAGCCACTTGTATTTAAATAGTTTTTTTTAACCAATTGCTTGGAAGGAATTATTGCTTACTTTTTAAAGCAGATGATCTATTTCAGATGCAGCTGTTTCTCTCACATTCTATATTGCCTATAGAACTGAACATAGAAAACCCTAAATATATCTCATTGATGGTAACAGCCCATTGAAGTTAAATATCTTAAAAGGTAATACATGTATTTCTTTGATTTGTTGTAATCTTTTATCTTAAAATACTCTCAATTTTTATTCTTGATCTCAAAATACTGATCCTTTTATATTATCTTTCTGGTTTTGAAGGTGGCAAGGAAGTAAGTCTATAGTTGAAATTGGGTAAGTCTTAAAAACAAATACCCAAATCTGTCATGTCTTCTCTTTGAAACACTACAACAGAGGAAAAACCTTTTGTTTTTTAACAAGGAAAACTTACTGCTTTTTTTAACAATTACAGAACTATTTTCCACCTTTTTCCTCCCCATCCCTCCCAAAAAGCAGAGCAAAAGAGGAGCCTGGATGCTGAACTAGGAGAAGCCACCAGAGATGGCCATAGCAGCTCCTGCTGCTGTTGCACACCGTTCCTCTCCAAGTTTCCTTCCCCCGGTACTGAGGCAGCAGCACCACTGTACTTTCCAAGAGCAGAAATAAACTACAGCAGCACCAGTTCTGGGGGACTTTAAGGCTCTCTGTTAGCAACTATACTGAGCTGTCACAACACAATTTAGCTACCCTGTTCTTGGAGAAAGCGGGGACTAGCTGAAGCAGGAAACAAACCAAGTTAATCCCATGATCTGAACAGAACCCCTATCACTTACTCTAATATGGAAGCTGTTAGTTCTAAATTATACATTCAATATGAGAAGACATCTCTGTCTTTGCAAAATAAAAACCACAGTAGTTGAACCAACTACACACAAGTTCACATTGGAAAATGGGATTAGAAATAGACATTCATGTTCTGTGTCAGTACAGAAGTCCTCTTTAGAAACAGTACTGCTGGAATGTTAGATAATTATATAAGGCTCAAACAGCAACTAACAAATCCTCTCACAAATATAGACATGCCTATTTTAAATTAAATGTTAAGTGGGAAATATTTATAGTTCAAATTGCACACTTTGCTACTTAATTATCATAATTTTAAAAAGAAGACACCTTTAATTTCCTCCTCCAAAGAAGTTATTTACCTGATCTGTAGCCTGGGAGTCCCCAGTAGTCAGTTCTGAGATTCTCATCCCACTGAATGTCAAGCACCTAGCATTTGAAGGATGGTATTTCAACATCAGTTATTGACAACTTAACTTTGACTCACCAAAGATAAACCAACCTTCATTCCCACTCAGGTCAGCTCATTGATTTCACAGAAAACACATTTAGAAAGCAGAGCTGAATGTTTTCAGAAATTCCACTGATGAGATAAAAAGGGGAAAAAAACCCCAGCCAGCAAAAAGGAACTGATATAAAATGCTTGAGACTTCTTGATGCATGATGAATCAAGTATTTTGGTATATTTCTGTGCAAAGTAACAAATAACCAAAATTACTGTTAACTGCTTGCTGAAATGATATAATCTCAAATACCTTACCTTCTTAATCTTCAGATACAGGACTCTGTTCTTTGACAAAAACCCAATTTTATCCTTGTACCAGAGGTTGTGTTAGGAAAATAACAGTTCTGCTGAAAGAGTCTGAAAAAAAAAATACACTTGCTGCTCTCAATATCCATATTATAGACACCTTAAGCATTATTATGAATAATATGGAACTTGGTTTCTGTTTCACTCTTGTCCTACTTTTGGTTCAATGGAACTGTGTTCCATTAAAGTTTGACTTCATGTGCAGTTGGAATAGATTCTCACCAACAAGACCTAATAAGCTTAAGAATAAATATTGTCCTTCAATTACCTTAAAAATAAATTTGGATACACCAAAGCCCTCAGTTTTTATAATTGTGTCATTAAAAAAAAATTAAAATTGTATCTAGTGAACACTATTCATAGCATTCATACTGCAAAATAGGACCAGATAATTATGGTTTGTGATGATTATATTGACATGTATTTCAATTTTTAGAAATACACTGAAGCAACAGCCTCCTTTTCACTACTGCTATTCCTGTTTGGAGTACACAAACAATTCAAAAGCTATTTTAAACTGGTCTCTGACTTCTAATTATCCATTACATTATAAAGCATTTATTTAAAACATCATCTTCATGATTCCTACAAGAATGAGGGGACTAAATTAAAGGCTTACACTTCAAAAAAAAAGCAATGTTCTTTCTATGTCACCGAAGTTCTCAGCATCAGTTGTCTACCAGGAAGGCACTGACAGGAAGTCAAACATGCATGAAAACACACAGAACAGGAGCCTCTGTTTCCAGACCCAAAAGATACCACAATAATATACCTGAGAAATTTGAAATCCATTTAATTCTGCAGGATTTTTAGCATGACAAATGATATTGTTAAAGCTTCTCAGATCATATATGCATCTAGAAAAATGCAAGTGATCAAGTAATTTAACTAATAAATCCAATTTAACTAACTAAACTAGTAATTTAACTAACAGAGTAGACAGATATCATTAAAAGATTCTTGATTTGTGCACCACTGAAAAGGCTGACTAACTGTACTCTACCTGATAAGAAACATTTGCTGTTGGGTTTTTTCCCACATTATCATTTATTTGTCTGCTTGTTGGAACACCAAACCCATCACCACTTAAAGAATCCCCACAGTTTGCAATGAGAACACAAGAAATTCAAGTGCCTGTTTAAATATTCACAATTATTTTATTAATTTACTGCTAATAGTTCTTATTGAATATACATTGCATATAGCTCCCATACAGAATATTACTAGAAACCAACTTGTGCTGTGAAGTCATGATTAAGTTATTAAAATAATTGGATGTCTTGAAAAAAATAAACACTACATAGAGAAACCATTAGTCTAAAATTAAATCCTGGTCAGGTGTTACAATGCCAAGATTTAATAACACACTTTAGAAAAAATAAAATTAAAATAAATTTTTAAAAATGCCAAGGCTGATTTTTTTAAAGTAGAAAATTTTCCAAGTTGTGAAAACCTAACCGTGCCTTCCTTTTTACTGCCTCTGAATGACTTGAGACCTAATAACATTTTGATACAAAACAACAACTCAGGCTTAGCAAAATACTGAATTTATATAATAAACACATACAAAAAGTCTGAAAAAGCATGCAGCAAAAGGGAATTGTGTCATTAAGATCATAACCTCCATTGACAGCTACTCCAGAGATAATAAATGGTGCCAGAATTATTTTCCAGACTATTTCCCTCTACTCATCTTGTATGTCTGCTCCTACATGTGCCTTTTAATTTCAACATACTTCATGTGTCAAATGACCAACACAAAGGCTCTGACAGGACATAGCATATATGCTAATGTAAATGAAATGCCAGCATACCAAACCCAAGTAAGAATAATTAAACAAAACGTACCTGGACTTGAAAAAGCACCCCTGAGCTGCATCAGTGCTAATTCCCAAATGAAGACTCTTCCTTGCAAATGAGTGAGCTTTCTTCAGATCATTATTCTGTGGCACAGGCTCCTCCAAATGGCAGAATGAATGTATTGCCATTATTGAAAATTTACAGATCATCTGAAGTAATTGAACTGCAAGCAAGAAATAAAGCAACTTTATTTGGTCTAAACTTACTGAAAATACTTTATTTAGTTTTCAAGAACTTGTTACTTAACAATAGCATATAAAATACATAAAGGATACGTATATGCAGTGATTGATAAAAGTATAAATTGATTCATTAAACCAGACAGACAGTTCATCTAAGCAGAGATGCCCAGATAAGGAACTTCCATTTAATGCTACTGCAGAGCACCATTTCCATACATTTTAGGGATGTTTCTTATACATTATATATTTCTTCTCTTCAAAGAGGCTTTCACCTGGGTATCTACAATGATACATGTATTTTGCAGAATATTTTGCTTGTAATGTAGAATTATCTTCAAGTAGTTGAAGTTACCCCTTCCAGCATGAATTATTTTGTAACTAAAACTACCAAATGTCATCTACCACCATTGTGCTAATACAGACAGCTTTAGAAGGCTGCCTTCAAGTTTTCACAACTTCAAGTTTCTCTGATATTACAGAATGTATTCTGTACTACTTGGGATGCTTACTTGAGGGCAAGATGAGTCACAGATTCTAAAGGCATAATCTGATGAGCATCTATTCTGGTAAAATGCCAGTTCAAAGAGAGAGGACCCTCCTGCTGCTTGTTCTGATCCTTAGGCCATGATCCCATCTCCTGGTGGAGCCACCCACTAGACCAGAGTGAGGAACTAGATTGGGTCAGAAATTGCTGCTTGCCACAGATCCCTCTCGAAGTCAGGATCAATTTTCTGATTCAAGTCACTGCATGGTGGCACAAATCACTGTGCTAATACAACAGGAAGGAAAGTGAGGGAGCAAGACCACACAGCTAATTGCAGCTACAAATGTCAGTACTTAAGAACTGCTCTTGTCATCTGAGTGTGAACTACAAGGTACATCACAGCTTTGCCACTGAAAGCAGCATAGCATACTACTGGACTGCTTTAACTTTCAGTTCCACCTCTGCATCACTGGTCATCATCCCCACAATGGCATCAAAAATGACAACTTGCAGAGCCTCACCAAAATTGCGTGGGATACAATTTCCTGCCAAAGGCCATACACTGCAAGTTTAAGGTGGGATGAACTGAACAGGGTGTGTGAGTGTATAAGTATGTAGGTTCATCCCTCTCTAGTCTACTAATAACAGAAGCAACTTAGTCATTCTTCAGACTGCTAAACACAGAAGAGATTAATGCAGTTAAACATGTCTGCTTAGGTTAGGCCTGGCCTTTTCTAACTTTGAAATCAGGGAGTGATTGAAACTTTATCAAAAAGGAAAATTGAAAAGTCATTTATAGTTTAATAAGAATTCAGAGATTTCAGAAATCCAAGTACTGGGCAGATAGATATAGAAGACCAACTCACAAACAGACCAAAGTGAAGTACAGACTGCAGCCTATGCCCTTGTTATTAGGGAACAAACACACAAGCAAGAGACACATGACAAGTACCCCAGCTGCAGCTGGTATTTTTCATTACCTCTAAGATACAACTGCATAGAAAGCTGTTGTATCTTGTGCTCACAGAACTACTAGGCTATCCATGCAGAATTCAAAGCTACTTAAGTAGCATTAAAATAAGAGTCCTTGGTCTGCAAATTCCAGCTCTGCTCTTTGTGTTCAGTTTAGAAGTACAGTATGTACAGCACTTGACAGCTTCCGGTCTCCTGGCACAGCATCTCATCCTAACGAGATGCATTCTTCTTAGCAGATCAGCCACTTCATCCTTTAGAACCACTAAAGGAATGAATAGCATCGAGTCCTGGTGACTTAGGAGTCTTTAGCACTTCATTCTAGCATTCAGTCTTTTGCCACTCTAATCCCATAATCAGATAACAACCAATCAACATTATTTGAAAAGAATAAAATGCCCATAACATCCTTGTGGCAAAGAAATAAAGCATAAAGAAATAACTCCACTCCCTCCTAGCACATCTTATTCCTTTTAATTGCTTTCTATACTCCCTAAAAGCCCAAGAGACCCATCAGGTCCTTAAAACATTATTTGCAATGTTACCATACTCCTTGTATTTTTAAATAAAAGCACACAAACAAGTGTTTTCCTGAAATACACTGCTACCAATAAGACATGACAACTATAGCCTGTTACTGAGATTAATGCAACTATTGGGAAGCTCAAAATGTTACATAAAAACATTTCTAATTGCATGCAAGTGAAAGTGATTGGCCTTTTACAGACAGCAGATTAGGGATTTCCTCTCTTATCACCAACTTCTTGCTTAAAAGTAAGTAATTAACAATACCAAATGAGAACAGTTATAGAAGTATCAATGGGTACAAAGTTTATCCAGACACAGGAAGAAAATCCATAATCATATGGATTAATAATCTCCCTGCACATGAGAAGGATTATTTTTTATTAAACTCAACCAGCTGTGTCTCAACATCTACATGTATTCAGATTCTACATAGTATATTCTAACAGTGGGGGGATTTGTAAGGGTGGTAGTGGGTTAAGGATTTTTTTTTTTCAATATAAGAATGCCCTCTCACATTCTGAGTCCTTGCTTTGAAAAGTTTTTAGGGCCTCAAGCCTTTCTTAGGCTGCTAACCTGCACTGATGCCTTCATTACAGTAGTTCAGTACTAGTGGTACCTGAATTAGGCAGAGTGAGTTTAAATCCATTCAAGCACCTCAATTGCACATAAAGCATCAAACTTTCAGCCACTCTCCTCTGGACTAATTCTAGAACAAGTCAACTGTATGCTAGGAAAGAATTCCTACACAAGGAATTCAAACTGACATAACACTGTACACAAAGAATTTGAAGCAATACACAAAAAAGGCATGAGTGTATTCCTCTTACTGTTTTAAATCTTAAACTTGGGTCAAATTTGCAACTCCATGCTACAACAAGATGCAATTAGGTAAAATAATGGCAGTGACTTACTAGAGTTTAGCTTATCCAACTTAATTTTTTTTACAAAGGAAGTTATCTATTTGCATAATACAAGTGTGATAATCAAAAAATCATTCTAGTAGGAACAGGCCTCAGAGGTCATCTAGTTCAATCTCTGCTCAAAGTAGCATTAATATGTGAATACTCATTAATGATACAAGTTGTACTCTCAACCTTGCAGCCCACTAATCACATGTAATCCTTAATCAAATGCACTCAACTGCCTTTGATAGGATTACTTATCTGCAGAAGGGTTTGTGGGACCAGTCACTTGCCACACATTATTCCTAAGTATGGAACATTATAGCACTTCCAGCTGTACTCAGAGCCAGTGCCACCCCTGCTTTTCACTAATCAGTACTGTTATGAGAGCAGCTTTCCAAGGGGACCTGCTGTACAGGGGTAGATTTTGATGGATGACAAAAGGATGGAGTGAAGTAGGGGGTGATGAACCCCTAAGCAAGTTAGAAGCACAGGGCCGGGTCCTGGTTTCAGATGGTTTGCAGGTTGATGAATGTAGGACAGAGGTCCTGCTCTGAGAGATACCTATAAACCTAAAAAATACCTATAAAGAGAATTTAACACCACTGGTACCAACAGTCCTTTAGATATCAAGATCAGGGACCAAACTTCAGCAGAATAAGTTTGGGAACTTCTGTTATAGTACTGCCATTTTGTTTTGTTCCTCCAGTTTTGCTCTGATAAGGACCTCCATTTTGGATTTGTGCTTAAGTTTACACCTTTATTTCATGCATGACACACGGTACAGCATTGCCAATTACAAAAAAAAAAAAAAAACAATTAAGAAACCCTCGCTGAAACAATCCACAAGTAATAATAAAAAAAGTTGAAATGTTTTATAAAAACATAGTTACTCAATGACACAAGCTGAATTAGAAAATAAATTTGCCTTATATTAGTTCAGTAATATCCTCTGTTCTGAAGCATGAAATACAGTGACAGTTTATCTATGCTGTGTGACAATACATGAACTCTGCCAAACAAACTAAATAAAGATAAGTTAATCTTCTAAATAATTATTTCTTTTGAACATTTAATACTTGATGTTGTAAGTAACTTCAAATATTAATATTGTGGCACTACTGTAAACAATATAGGCACTATTTAAGTGGTAACAACAGCAACAAGAAATAAAAAGCAGAATATGTAGAAAAAAAGAAATTTACTTTAGCAGCTTTGCTAACCTCAGTCTTAGGACCATTCAAAAGGCATTTTAAAACACTGGGTTCTGGGGTATTTTTAAATGCACTGAAAACCTTTTAAATTCTACAGTTCCAGACATTGTTTACATGCCTTCCCTAAGTATTCATTAGTAGCCACTGCTGTTTGCTAGGTTTCATAGAGGGCCTGTCCCTATTTGACCTCATTCACTTAAACTACAGTTTACTCCAACAACATCCACAGAAGGAGTTAAATTTTCCACCAGCGTTTAAGTGGCAGAAGTTAGGTCACAGGATGGTGCACCCATATCAACCAAAAAGTCATGAAAGTAAGGGACATGGTTCAAGATGCAGTTAGGAAGAGGCAACAATCAAGCCAGCAATTCTAAAGCCAAAAACAAGAGGTCAGTCAGATTCTCAAACTGACAGAGCATCTTCACCAGCAAATTCCTACCTTAGATATCTTTATTTTATACTTTTGTTAAGAAACTTCAATATTTTTTCTGATTAATCGAGGGGAGTAATTGATTCTACTAAATATTTAAGTTCCCTTTTAACAATAAACTCAATTGCTTTTGTGTTTTAGAAAGAAAAAAATTACTTTAGAATAGTTGTTTGCAACAAAACTAACTGCATTTCCATGTTTGCAACCCTTCTTAGAAGTGTGGTGTTTGGCATACTAGCTGAGAAAGGAAGGGCAATACCAAGCAACAAATCCCTGTCCTGGCACCCTGTCTGAGAGAAGAGAGAATAAATTGCAAGGAGATGCTCCATGGTATGTTGCCAACACAGGTATGCCCACACATTGCTAGGTGCTGCTGCCATGTAAAAAACAGATTATTGGGTTTGAGTTTTAGCCAAGGTGCAAAATTACTTTACTGAAAACTTTAACTAAG